TCAGTGATCCGCATTATCAGAAGGCTCTGATCTCAAGTTTGCAATACTTTTAGCTTTAGCTAATTAATGTTGTTGTTTCTTGTCTTTACATGTGCCATTTATTGTGTTCTACAAAGCGCTTGTAAATGTGCTTGCATTTTTGTATTCTTCGAGCTATACTTACATACATAAGCGTGTATATAAATACATTATATTTTTTTGTTGCCACGAAGGCGCATTTATTTGCTCAGAACAATTTTAATTAAGGTTAAAACAGCAAAAGAGACGCATCCATGTGCGTCTCGAAATAGATCGGTTAAATATGTACATACGTGCACTTGTATATTTATGTATGTTTTCGACTTTAAAATACGTTTATATGTTTGTGTGCATGTGTATGCGTGTCTAACTAAAGAGTAAATAAATATTCGCAGACGTTTGTGCGCACCAAAAACTGAAAACTGACGCAAATTTGTCTAAAAACATATTCTAAAACAATTTTAATTGCACAATAGCGAAATTGTCCACTGAAATGTGGGATTAAAAGGGGGAAAACAGGTACAACTTATATTACATAAAAATAAATAAATAAAATTTGCTTGGATATTTGCTTACTATATAACAAGTTGTTAGAATTTTTGACATAAAAAATATATTTTCGAGCCAGACTTAACTAGAAATGTGTTTTAGTTAACTAAAATGAGAAAAAAAATTACATTTTTAATTGGTTAAAATATAAAAAAAAAGGCTGACAACTGAAAAAAGGAAAGAAAAACTTACAATAACGTAAGAAATAAATATATATTTCACCTAAAATGCAAAACAACGTATCACCAAAAAAACGATATTGAGTTTCTTTTTGCTTACAATTCACTACATCATTTTGTATATCTATGTAGCTTTAAATTTTCCACTTCCGTTGTCAGATATAATTAATATATAACCAATATATAAGTAATATATAACCAATAAATAACCATTTTTTAACCAAATTTCAAATTTTTTTTCAAATCATATGGCTTTTATTACATAAATTTTCAGCCTCCGCTATCAGACATAACCAATACATAACCAATATATAATCAATATATAACCAATACATAACCAATACATAACCAATATATAATCAATATATAACCATTTAATAACCAAAACTCAAATTTTGTTTCAATATGAGTTGTTTCTATTATATCGATTTTCCTGCGCCTCTACACCTATGACAAGTGATGTTATGTTATTTTGCACGAGACGATATGTGCATACATACATATATGCTCCACATCTTTTTCAAAGCACTACAAGCCAAGTGAAAGCAAAAAAAAAATATACATATTGGCGCGCCAAATGAGTTGTGAACTCAATTAACTAGCAACAACTTATTAAATAATCACCTATTAATCGGCGTCTAATTAAACGTGAATATCTGCCATGCTCAGTTTATGTCAAAAACCTCAAGACAAGCCATAAAATGTTTGATTTTATTTCTCCGCGAATCGCCTAAGTGCTCTTGCACGCCATTAACCACCCCTAAATGACGATCGGTACCGCGCCAAATCGCCCCCCTCCTCCTGCCAACATGGCGTTCAAACATACGCCGTTGATGCGTCTGCATCATAAATTAAAAGCATGGAGTTTTGCCAATAAGTTTTCTGGACATCTTCCCATTCAGGCACACGCCACGTCCTCTGTCAGTGGTTGCCACTAGCGCCAGCTTCGTTGCCGCTTGCCAAGAAATCAGCCGATTTTGGCTTGTCGCCGAATCACCACTTGCCTGCTCCCCTCCATGTGGCTCCCGTCACAACAAAAACAATTCATTTGCATTTATTACGTAGTTTACGCATACGCAACAGTTTCGTTTTTATTACGGATTGACATTCACAAAAGTGAAGAAGGGAGCTCCATTTCTGTATTTAAAAGTTTTTTGTTTTTAGGTTATTTTTGCTGTGTGCGTGGGGGGCACACGTGCAAGACTTTTGGTTTGCCTTAGGTCAGGGTTTGTTGGGCTAACGAGCTCATAAGTAAGTAAGTAAGCGTTGTTGTTGCTGTAGAAACGCATAACTCATGTGGTAACTACTTGTAAATTGAACGAAAATTAGTCGTAGGTAAAGAAGGGCGTGAGCGGAAAGGCATAATTGTGGATAAATCGTATGTGTTCATGTTGCGGTGGAATTTATTGCGCACGGGTGTGAATAATTGTTAATTTTCATGAGGACGCATGCTGTCTTCTAGTATGCTTTATGGTTTTTGAAGTGAGTTTGTGAGTTGGTGGTTCGATTGTGAACTGCCGATACTTAAATAATGCACCTACAGCAGAGTGGGAGTGTAAATAAGTGAGAATGACTGGTGTGAAAGTTTTTGCAAAATCCGGTGGCTTAAGGAGGAGATTCACTTGCTTCTTCTCTTAAGATATCTATATACATTAGGGTGAGTCCAAAAAATCGAATATTTTTTCATTTGGTACTCTGAAAAGTACGTTTTTAGACGCCTCTAGGAAAGTCTCTCCAAGTATGAGCTCCTATTTGGCACACAACTTTGGTGTTGAGCCCCTTAGTCGAAGAGATCGTCTTAGTCTGACTCCGATTAGGTCCTCTACCTTACAATTATCATTATCTCTGTCGCGCTCAGCAAGCTTCTGAAATTGTTCAGAGTGCTGGACCTTTGTGACCATATTTGATATAGGAGAGTGCACAATAGACCAAAGATCACAGAGCAAAGCCTCAATTTTATATCTATCAAGTCAAAGGAAGAAATCTGTATTCAATTATTATTACTCTACTACTTATTCTTATTGGCTATAGTAACGACCTAAGCTACTTTTTTTTTTTTTACTTAGTACTTTTTGGCGGCAATTTAGATGTACCAAACCGCTGGCTGATATTTTAAAATTTAAATACAAATTATCGCAGTCACGTTTTTGAATTACCAAAACAAAAACCCCACATATGCATACGCATACGTGTGTGTAAGTGCTTTCATTCACACAATTCTTCCTGCATTTATTATTTACATTTCACTTGCCAATTTCCAATTGTTTACGCACAACACAAATTTCATTGCCAAAATTAATTCGTATCGAGTGATGGTCACCTAGCGAACACCGCGTCCGCACCACGCAAGGCGAAAACTTGGCAAGCACCAACTTGGAGGAGTGAGACTCGGGTAAACCTTGCCAAGGACCCCACAAACACATATCTCAGCAGAAGCACATACAACAAAAACAAAAAATATAGTATTGTGCTATTTTCTGCGCCCCTTGCTGGCAACCTGTTTCAGGCAATGAACCCGTTAATGTCTTATATAATCTCTTAATGTGCGCCTTGTTGGCAAACGCTTGATGTGTGCCAACGGCTAAGTTTTTATGTTCTGTCCATCTGCGACGTAGATATCGGTTCCTATGCGTGAGCAGTCTAAATGCGTTTTGTGAGGTTGCCAGATAATTTGTGTTTTCCTTGTTTTGTAGTAAACGTGTACATTTGTATGTGTGGCAGGTATAAATAGTTACAACTCCCCTACGCAAAAGTCAATGATTTTGCGTTCGAATATTCTGAGCGCGCTGCAATCGGAATATGAAACTGTGACAAGAAAAGTATTATAAATAGGGTTTAAACATGAGTGGATTTTTTATATGAAACTTAAAATTTTTTATAAAATTTTTTTTTTATTTTAATTTTTTTATAAAAATTTTAAGTTTCATAAGGGTGGTGAATAAAAGTGTTTTTTGGAAAATATAATTTTTGGAAGTTCATGTAGTAGTATGGAGTTGCCACATATGCTGAACAAAAAAAGTGTTATTTTTCTCAAAACTTTTTAATACCCAAAAAAGTTGTTCTGCTAAAATAAAAAAATTAAAGCTTTACAGTGCAAAATTTTCTTAAAAAAAAAAATA